GGACCCTTATTTAGAGAACTACCCATCTGGGCCATTGCCCCTAGCAAAGCTCTCGCTGAGCTCGCAGTGTGCAGCTTGTCATTCGGACGAGGTTCTCTCGTCGTAGTCCTACACGCAAGCTGCACCATGACAGTACGACTAAGTCCCGGGATACCCCAGGACGGTACGTGTAAGGCGTCCTGACCTTCAGCGAATACAGGCTCAAGGACGTAGAAAAGGTATGGAATTTCCTTATTGTGTCGGAGTAACTACACAACGTCATTTCCCAGAAACAGGGAAAGAGGACCGCACCGCTCGTAGTTATGCCGAGAAACAGCTCTATATGGCCAAAACGAGCAGTATGTAATCTTAGGCAAATAAACAAAAGAAACCTGCGAGACCCGGCAGAGCAGACGCCAAAGCGCGCAACGTACATGCGCNNGGAGGGTCAGGGGACTTAGTAACTAGTTATCTTATAGACTTATAAGTACCATAACCCCAATTAGGCTCCCTTTTAGGGTACTTATAAGTCTACTTAATATCTACTTACGAAGTCCTCCGACCCTCCAAGTAACAATCCCTTCCGAATGTGAAAAGGTATGAGAAGCCTTGGCTGACTTCTGAACCTCTCCTAAAAGCTAAACTTTCAGCCTACTTAGTATAGTTCATATAGAAACCCCAAAAGTTAAAGTCCTAAGAACACAGAGGAATATTAGCCTCCTTATTATAGTTCATATAAAAACCCAAAAAATGAAATTCCCAAGAAATACTAGAAGAACACCGAGGAGTATTATAAACAAAATAAGAGAAGACCATGGGTTTCGAAGAAGACTAAAGGTTCTGGTTCAGGCCTCCCTGCCTTCAGACCCTGAACCCTAAACCCTAAACCCTAAACCCTAACTTCAGACGAGAGTCGTTCTCTTTCCCTGCGGCCTCCTTGCCGTCCGTAGCAGCAACACCGTCCTGGCGGTCAGCGCTTGAAGAAATTCAGGCTTGGGGGTCGCACGGTTTGGGTTTAGGGTTTCGGGTTTCGGGTTTAGGGTTTGGGTTTAGGGTTTAGGGTTTAGGGTTTGGGTTTAGGGTTTACGGTTTAGGGTCAATGTTTAGTTGCGGCGGCCGGGCAAGATGCAGTACCGTCAACAGGGATCCGATCCTAGAGGAGAAGTCAAGTTCGTGCGGCTTTCTGTCCGGATGTCGGGTAGCGCCTGAAGAACCCCTTAATTACCCCTAAACCCCTTAATGAATTATGATTTAGGGGGACCCCCCTAAGGGGGTATGGCAAATGGAGTTTGATAGCAAGGGTTTTTGCTGATGGTTGGTTTTTTGTCCTCGG